GGTGCCGGTCTAACGCATCCTTGTGTGACATTTTATACTAATGTTCTTATAGAACATTCTATTGCGAACACACTGGTACAAAAGTAAAATACGTAAATCGAAAATTAATGTCAGGACAGTGAAAAGAGTATACACTTTTCAGTGTTGCCACTCGATCGCCCGAAACGCAGCACTATTTTCTTAGGTTAAACCTTACCACTGGCTTTCTTGGGACCCATGGCGAGATATATAATAACTTTTAAGGTCAAATGACCAAAAATCTAACAAAACACTGGAAATCCGGGTGAAGAATTTACGTGGGATAGTCACTGGGTGCGAGGCACAGGTAAACTGAGGGGTGAGAGGCGACGATCGCTGTACCACCACGCGCTAGGTCGGCCTGTACGCGTAATCAATAAACTCGCCTTCTAAGGTAACCCTCGCCTTCCGAGACACATTTTCCGAGGAAATCCTGCTCGTATTCCGAAAAACTCGTATACAGGGACACTCGTATTCCGAGGTACCACTGTATAGGTAATTGCCCACCCGCAAGAGTGTGTGAAGTGGAGAGTAGTTAGCCGCGAGCGCACTAGCGAAAACACAGGGGGAAATCATGCTTGGAAAGTTTATACGTTTCCTGACCCTACTTTTCTATGTACGTATTTCTTTTTTATACCAATGTGTTCGCAATAAAATTTTCTATAAGATGAACTGTATAACATTTGTACAAAGCATGTGTAAGAGAAGCGCCAAATATAGAACCACGTCGCTCAGTATGCATTCGCGGCAGAAACGAACGCATTGTTTTCGTTCGTTTGATGTTTGTCATGTTTATACTTGTTGAAACATTTTATAATTTGTATGACAGTGATCGCAGTAAAATTCCCTACACAGACATATACATAACACATACAAATATTTCCCACGTGTTGGATATATCAACGGCTAAAGGGAACCCACTGCCACACGCTCGCCACACCCCCAAACATACTTTGTGTATTTTTTTTTACTCATAGAAGTTTATGTGATATAATATTCATTCTGGTACCAAAAAATTCGCAAATAAATTCTCTACAAAACAAAAGTATCCCCATCCATTTTGGTTAAAAAATGGAATTTATAGAAATATTTTTCCGATGGACGAGAAAAGTAGGCTGTTATGCGGAATCGTAAGAAAAAACGGCGACGAGTTATCTCTAATCTAAAGCGCGAAAGTGTTAACATACTAAGTAGGTTAGGTAAGGTCGGTGTTTTCTATGAAGCTTTTCAAGGGAAACTATTATGTTTAGTATGTCACCTATGCACGCAACTAATAAGTCAATATTGACTTATTAAATTTGCGAGAACGGGTTGTTTTATGAACATAATATTGCCGGAACAACCGTGGACATTTTCAAGAGGAAATTAGATTTATTCCTCCAAGGAGTGCCGGACCAACCGGGCTGTGGTGGGTATGTGGCCCTGCGGGCCACTCCAAGCAACAGCCTAGTGGACCAAACTCTCACAAGTCAAGCCTGGCCTCAGGCTGGGCTTGGGGAGTGAAGAACTCCCAGAACCTCATGAACCAGGTATCAACCAGGTAATAATTGAATCGCTAATATGCACACCATAATTTTGAGTACAGCGATGGTTCACACATTTTATTATATAAACATATCACAATACACACTATTGAATAATATTACTGCAAAAAACTAAGAAAAAATAAATCGGAGACATTGAAACAATTAGGTAATAATATATTTGTGGCAAGTGCCGCCTGACAGCTCGGGCGGAGTAGACCTCGTCTGGCAAAGGCTGTCAACGCCCTTTTATTGCTCTTCTGCCATCCTGGGGTAACGCGCTCTCACTTTCTCTGTTTGGTGCGGTTGGTATGCGGGGCTTTTGGACTTTATATATATTTAGTCCTGTAGAGAATTCTATTGCGAATACATTGATACCAAATTTAAAAACCTAGGACGAGAATTGAGATGACAAAGTTGAAAAGAGTATTCACTTTTCAGTATTACCGCACGCTCCTGTGGAATGCCTGGCGCACTTTGGGGTGGTCTGGCGCTCGTTTGGCCAAAGCACGAAAGTGTTAACATGTTGCTCTCCTACTATGTGCAGATTTGATTGTGTTTTGTACTCTGTATTATGTTTAAGGTCCTCATTTTTACCATACCCAAGTACTTGGAATTTATCACTGTTAAACATCATGTTATTTCATGCTGCCCAGTCAAAAACTTTATTAATATCAGCTTGAAGTTTTTCTAATGTCTTCAGCAGAGGTAATTTTCATGCCAATTTTTGTGTCATCTGCAAAGGATGACACGAAGCTGTGACTTATATTTTTGTCTATATCTGATATGAGAATAAGGAACAGCAATGGTGCAAGGACTGTACCTCGAGATACAGAGCTTTTAAGTGCTCTTGGACGTGAGCGTTCACCATTTTGACAAATAATCCCAGCATGCCCCATGGCCGTCGGGAGCCTCAGTATCAAGGAAGCAACCACGTGTGACATCATCAATGAGCTCCCGGTCTATTGTCAGCTGCGGTGTTGAAAAACTACTCTCAGATGCTGAAATACAGGACATATTGTTTGATGAGGAACACATTACTGACACTGAAGACTACGGTCCTAATAAAGACCTAACACAGGCATCTGACACAAGTAATTTGGATGTTGAGGTGGACGATGTCGAGTGTGTGTAAACTACAGCGAGGCAAGCGCCGGCATGTCGTGCGGCCCGAGGAGAAAGACGACAGTGTGCCCTCGACATCTGGTGTTCGTGGTAGGCCTATACTACACAGAACAGCCTCATCTCCTGCCATTCGCAGCTCTAGCACAAGACGATGGAGCCGTGTTGTTGTTGTGCCTGTACTGTTGGTGCTGGTGTAGGCCGTGGTGTTGGCGCCAAAACCAGAAACACAGGTGTACTTGTGTGGGAGGAATGTGACAATTTTGTCCCACAAATTCCAGCATTTGATAATACCGATGTTGGTGTGACACCCTTATTTTCCTGTACTGGTGGTGATGTGGCTGAAATTGATTATTTTATGGCATATTTCGATCAGCATTCATAGACCATCTTGTTGCAGGGACGAGCCGATATGCTCTGCAGCTCATTGCCACTGGAATTTTACCCGCCTCTCGAATGACACGACTATTGAGGAAATGTATGTATTTTTAGCATTGTTCATGATGATGAAGCATACAGAATAACACGTGATCCAGGATTATTGGAACAAAGACAGCCTTACACTACACTACACTTTTAACAGTTATAACACTACACTGTTATTAGAACAGCCTTGTTCCAACATCCCCTTGTTCAACTGGTACATGTCATGTGATAGGTTCCTGCTGCTTCTCAGGTGCCCACACTTTGAGAACAATGATAATGAACACAGACACAACAGAATGTGGAAAGTGTGGAACATATTTAGTGACTTGAGAGAAGCGTTGTGACTATTTTGTACCAGCACAGAATGTCGTGATTGATGAATTGCTACTTCTCTTCAAGGGACGACTAGCATTCAAGCAATACATACCATCGAAGTGCCACAGGTTTAGACTAAAGTTCTTCATGTTATGTGACTGCGAAACTGGCATGATATTGTATTCTGGTACAACATTGACATACTAGGTCAAGATCCATATGGGTTCTCGGGCAGTGTCGTGAAAACACCCATGGAACTAATGCTGAACAAGGGGCATGTCCTATACACTGACTACTACTACTACTGCCAGCTCCTTGCTGAACAGAATCCTCGTTGGTCACAACACTGGCATTAGTGGCACTGTCAAGACATACACAGGAGGGAAATGGTCTGGTTTGGCATTGGTATTGCAGTGGGTGAATGCCAGCTGAGAAAGTGTGATAAAATGTTATCTGTGCGCTAGAGGGACAGATGCGAGGTGAATATGTTAACAATTATTCACACCGGTGCAATGTTGGACAATAGCAAAGTGTTGGCATTTGGCATTTCCTGGTTCCCTGTTCTAGGGTTCGTGTGTCTCAGGTAATCCGCAGTGTCATCAAGTCTAGCCAGCCTGCGGTCTACCCCTTATGCCCATGATGTATAGAAATATCCTGCTTTGGCTGCTGTCTTTGGGAATATGTCTTAGGTTGACATTCGGGCGTGGGGGTTTTGGAGGTCGAACAGGGTCCTGTCCACCAGGTATCTAGTGAACATTCCGAGCCCCTCTCCGGCCTTGTATTGCCGGAGAGGGGCTCAGATGGGATGTCTGTCGCGACTTGTCTCATGTTCGTTTTGAGACCTGAGGTGCTGCTGCCTCCTGGGTAAGTCCCTATTTTTACTAATCTTTGGGTAGTTAGCTTCAGGAAGCTGATGTGGCTCCCCACAGAAAACGAAGTGTAGAATGTAATGAAACTCCATTTTCTGGGCAAACTCCGGAGGTTCCCTGACACCCTCCCTCCCTCCCTCCCTCCCTCCCTCCCTTCGGTCGGTGGTTTTCATCATTCTCGAACTGAGGGGGTGAGCAGGCTCCACCACCACTCCCTCTCGATGGGGTGGGGAGGTGCTAATATGTGGTTAGGTTAGGGGGAGGATGTTTTGTTTGTTTTAATTTGGAGGGAGTCATTTTACTTGGTTCGAACATGGATTGCAATATAAACCAGCTTGTGGTTTGTTTTGTTTTGCCTATCTTTCTTGGTGTCTTCCCCAGTCGATGGCAAGTGTGACATAATCTAAATATAAAGGGCTCATAGGCCATTGCTCCCTGCACTTTTTTGAGGGGACTAGGTTCTGGCTTGTGATTCCCAGTAGGCACAAGAACTGTTGTGACTGATATGACTCCAGACTAATATTGCTCATGTCAGTTTAGATAGCTTCAGGGAGCCTCCAGGGCTCGTCCAGAAAGTGGCATTTCATTATATTAAATGCTGTTTTTTTTTATTTTTTCAGTGCAGTACAATATCGTTCTTCACTTAGCAACATAAATGAACCTATTTCTTGCAGTTATATGGCTATTCTGTAATTTGTTTCTGTAATAGTACTAATTTCATTTGCAGGCCAAGGAAGCAGGTTTCTTCAAGTTAGAGGTTGATGCCGCAGAGATAGCAGAGGAAATGAGCAAAGAGCGCAAGATGTTTCAGCTTCAGATGTGTGATGTAAGTGTAATATTGCTAGCTTCTCTTGTAACAAATCTCCATCATTAATTTCTTTTTATTGCTGTGAACATAAAATTTAAACTTGTGGGATGGTCTCTGGGAAATATCTAAGAAATTGAAGCATAGTTGACCCGACCACACATTAGAAGGTGAAGGGATGACGACGTTTCAGTCCGTCCTGGACCATTCTCAAGTCGAATCACAATCGACTTGAGAATGGTCCTGGCCGGACCGAAATGTCGTCGTCCCTTCATCTTCTAGTGTGTGGTCTGGTCAACTTACTTTAGCCACGTTATTGTGACTCATCGCCTGCAAATTGAAGCATAGTTTTAAAACCCAACAAGCAGTCAGCATTAACCCCTGGGCGGTACTGCTGCTAATAACCAACAACATTGCTGCGTGCAAGAAAAAAAAATTTATTTTTCTTTTCTAAGATTGTTAAAATGTGTTCCCTGATCATGGGAAAAATAATACAAATATTGTAAGTGACATATTTTGGCTGCAATAGGGTGAGGAAGTCTGGCACGATTCAGGCGTTAACAGAGTACAGTGCTCATCCAGGGGTGGTCTCTTCCACCCAAGCCATCAGGCGGGCGTCATCACAAAAATATTATTACCTAATTATTTCACTGTTTTTTTTCCAGTAATATTATTCAGTAGTGTGTAGTGTGATATATTTCTATAATGTGTGAACCATCACTATACTCAAAAGTATGGTCTGCATACTGTATTAGTGATTATATTATTATGTTCCTAAAACAATAAGCATTTTTTCTGGGGGGAGCCTCGTTGGCTTCCCGGAGCTTATCCAGGCTGATATGCTAATGTCAGACTTTGGCATCAGTCATGTACTCACCTAGTTGTGTTTGCGGGGGTTGAGCTCTGGTTCTTTGGTCCCGCCTCTCAACTGTCAATCAACTGGTGTACAGATTCCTGAGCCTATTGGGCTCTATTATATCTACATTTAAAACTGTGTATGGAGTCTACCTCCACCACAACACTACTTAATGTATTCCATTTGTTAACTACCCTGACACTGAAAAAAATTCTTTCTAACGTCTCTGTGGCTCATCTGGGTACTAAGTTTCCACCATGTGTATGGAGTTCTGTGGGCCTTCTGGGGACCACGAGCCAGAACCTGGCCCCCTCAGAGAGGCATGGGGAGCAATGGCCTATAGAAACCCCCGTGGGGTTGGAAGCATTCTATGTCTGCCATTGACCGGGTCAGGCACCCAGAAAGGTAAGCGTCCCAAAACACACCTCTATTCTGGTGAAAATTGCTATCCAAACAAGTGGATAGAACTCCCTAAAAAGAAAGACGCAAAGGAGCATGATGTCGCATGACGTCACACGTCACCGTGCCGCTGTCTACACAGCCCCCCCCCCCCTCCCCGCGGGTGGAAAGGGGGGAGCCCTAGACCCTCGCGCTGGCTATCCATCCTTCAGTTCTAAGGCTGATGCTAGAGGCAGAGGTCGTGTGCTCTGGCTCCAGTGATTTTTCAGCACTGTGCTTTGAGTGTGGTGGCTGTCTTCCAGGGGTGTGAGAGCCGGGAGTTATTCTACAGTACTCGGGCTGCATGTGCCTCGGGTTCCCTTCTCTAGGTGTCCTGTAAGTACTGCCCTTGGGGCTTGGGGTTACCTTCCACAAGTTCCTTGGGTCCTGCCTCTGCTGGGCTGTTTCATTGCTCTGTTTTTTGGCCGCCCTTTGGGTGCTTGGGTGTTTTGTCTCCCTTGTTTACCTTAGGGTAAGAGGGAGTTTGCACTGGTACGGGGTGTAGTGTGCTGCGCAGCTTGTTTTTACCATTCTAGCGGCTCTGTTCCTTTGAGTACGTTGTCCTCTTGCGAGGTTTTCTTTTTCTTTTTGCTTGTGCCTTGTGGGGGGGGGGGGGGCTGCCTTGCTTGCCCCCTGGTATTTGACCTAATACGGTTTTCTTCTGGTGGTGCCTCTTGCTAGGTCCCTGTGAGTGTTCACGTCCCAGGGGTTCAGTTTTTAGAAGGTTGTTTGGTAGATTTGGGCATTGGTTAGCAGTACCCTGCCTGGGCTTCCCTGACTGTGAGTTCCGTCTCAGGACCATGGGTATCCCCATGGGGTGCGTGGATCCGATGTATGTGACCCCTGAGTCCCCGCCTCGCTTTGTGCAAGTTTGAAGGTGCTCTCTCCCCTGTCTCAGGGTAACTCATTTTTTTTTTGCCTTTGGGGTCGGTGCATCTTGCAACACGTTTGGTTGTTTGCTCCCTGGAAGCCCCGAGGCTGCCCTGTTTTGGTTGTTGTGACAGGGCTTGGGGGTGTTGGTTGCTTCGGTTTTGTTCTTTTCTCACCCCTTGTCTTTCCCCTGTTGTGGTTTAGTCTGGTTCTCCCCCCCCCCCTTCCTCCCTGCATCTGGATCCCTTCCGCCTGTGGGTTCGGGGTAGGGGCAGAGATTCAATGGTCTTGAGACTCTGGCGGTCTCGGTGGTTTCCCCTTCCGGGGTAGCGACAGGGGCATTCGAGCCTGTTCCTCCAGCGGGGTTGTATGAGTCTGCCAGTGGGCTCTTTTCCTTAGTATTTTTCCGGCTGCCCCGGCCTTTTCTTGCGAGGCTGGGGCTTTGGGGGAACGGCTCGGCCCAGGGCCTGCTGTGGAGGTTCCCAGGGTTGGAGAAGAGTTGACCTGGGGGGCCTCGGGCGCTATTGGACCCTGCTGGGGTTTTCTTCCCTCAGTGCGAGGCTTGCGGTTACGGGGAGTGGGGCTTTTCCTTCCCCCCCCCCTTCCTCTGTGTACTTGTTGTTGGGCGTCAGTCCCTCCCCGGGTTCAGATCCTTGTCCCTTCGGATCCTTTTGGTTTCAACCTATCAGTTCGTACTTTTCTCCGTTTCTACCCCTTTTCTCTGGGCCGGGTCTTATCCGTCACGGAGGAATCATGTTCCCCGGGGGAGCCGGTCGGCCGAGCGGACAGCACGCTGGACTTGTGGTCCTGGGTTCGATCCCAGGCGCCGGCGAGAAACAATGGGCAGAGTTTCTTTCATCCTATGCCCCTGTTACCTAGCAGTAAAATAGGTACCTGGGTGTTAGTCAGCTGTCACGGGCTGCTTCCTGGGGATAGAGGCCTGGTCGAGGACCGGGCCGCGGGGACACTAAAGCCCCGAAATCATCTCAAGATAACCTCAAGATAACCTCCCCTATTATTAACTTGGTACTGCATGACTTTTGGTCTCGGGTGCGACTGTGCCTTTCTGAGCCTTTGTGATAATGTTTGCCTTTGAGAAGATCTCAGGGGTTCGGGAAGGTCTTCGATTCTTCCCGCATTATTGGAACGTCTGTCATCTTCCGATCAGGCTTCCCTCCGGTCTTTTTAGGACTCATCGGTCCTCATCCGTGCTTCTTGGTTTTTGATACTGTTTTGTTCTTTTGTCAATCTATTTTCTCTCTGTCTCTGGGCCTCTGCTCTGTCTAGGCACTGCTATTATTTTGCAATACTCCTTGTTGGCGCCCCTCCCCGCTGGGCGGGTTTGTGCATTTCGGATCTCATGCGTCCTGCCCATGCGCCGTGAGAGTTTTTGTTGTGGACGGTGTACACAAGTGCGGGTGTTCCATGTCCTTGTTCTCTCGGGTACTTTGCCTCTCTCGCTTCTCTCGTCTCCAGTTCATGCCCCATAGATGCTGGGGGTGTTCTGGATTGCCGCTATGCGGAGGACGCTGGGTTTTCCCTGCATATCGGTGTGGGGCACCTCCTTTGCCACTACCCTACTCTTCTCCTGCAGGTGCGGCTCTGGCCTTCTTCTCTGGCGGTGCTCCCAGGCTCCTCTCGGCTACGTTGTGTCATGACACGTTTGTGCCTATGTTCCGAAGGTGAGTTTATGCGGTCTGGCGTATCTTTCGGCCAGGCGCTGGTTTATGGCTACGCATTACGAAAATACGAACAAAGGTGACTGTAGAGGGCTTATTGGCCCATACTAGCACTTTCGCCCGGGCATGACGCAGCATTGCGTCATCCGTTTACTGGCGGTAATACCGGGGATGACGCAGCATTGCGTCATCCACTTTAAATAATCGCCAAAAATCAGGTTTTTATCCGATTTTTTGGGGACTGGTTTTAAAATGTGCGCCGATGTCTTCCCATTTTCTTTGTTGAGCCTCGTGGCCCTCAGGTGGCTTGGCACACGATGTCGGCCCATTCTTTTCGCTCCACTGTTGTGACCAATGTCACCTCCCCTCACATCTTTTTTTTTTTTTTTTTTTTTTGAGATATATACAAGAGTTGTTACATTCTTGTACAGCCACTAGTACGCGTAGCGTTTCGGGCACGTCCTTAATCCTATGGTCCCTGGAATACGATCCCCTGCCGCGAAGAATTGTTTTTTCATCCAAGTACACATTTTACTGTTGCGTTAAACAGAGGCTACAGTTAAGGAATTGCGCCCAGTAAATCCTCCCCGGCCAGGATACGAACCCATGACATAGTGCTCGCGGAATGCCAGGCGAGTGTCTTACCACTACACCACGGAGACTGCTCAAACGTGTGAACATTTTGTCTATTTTCCGTGGCTATATTTCTTACTGCGGCTTTAGAAACTATCTACGCTTACTCCACGATAGATAGTGATCATGAACAAGGCCCTTCCAGGAAGAAAATTGTGAAAGAAAGGCTTGAAAAGGAAGGGAATTGGGAGTGTAGCTGGAAGGCGTCTGAGCGCTCACTCGCGGCTAACGCGTGGCCCGTCTTCAACTCGTCGGTGGTTGGAGCGTGACCAGGTTTTTTATTTTATATGCTAATGTTCCTCTAGAGAATTCTATTGCGAACCCATTGAGACCAAAATGAAAGACCTAGGACAAAAATTGAGGTGACCAGAGTGAAAATAGTGAAAACATTTTATCGCGTTTGCGCACTTCTAGGTAACTCATTCGCACTTTCTCTGTTTGCTGCGGGTAATTAGCCGGGCTTTTGGAGTTTATATGCATTTAGTGCTGTAGAGAATTCTATTGCGAACACAATGATACCAAATTTAATCTCGTAGGACGAGAAT